CATCAAGGACTTGTAAAAATGAAAAATGAGCTGGACCGGCTATATTTTTTGTTTTGTAATGCAGGGACTGCTGAAATTAAAACTAAGTACAACTCATTAAAGTTGCAGTACCGCAAAGAAATCAAGAAAGCCAAACTTGACCATAACAACAGTTTATTGCAAAACTCTAGTAATATTTCTAAAACATCCTGGTCAATCATTAATGAATTAAGCAACTGTAACAGTAAGCCTTTGTCTATTCCTGACTGCCTAACTGCCGATGGACTGAACTCTTACTTTGTCGACTGTGTTGAAAACCTGAGAAGTAATGTTCCCGCCTCTTCTAATGGTCCTGAGCAATATCTAAGTAATTTGACATCTTGCAACGTTCTTCCGACTATTGAGGACAACAATGCTTTTAGGCTTGAACTATTTACTGTAGAAGAGGTGTATGCAGCCATCAACAGTCTTAACAATAGCTCTTGTTTAGATATTTACGGAATTAATGTCCCCATCTTGAAGTTAGCTTCTAGTTACATAAGTGAAGTTTTGACATACCTATTTAATCTCTGTATAACACAAGGTTGCTACCCAAACAAGTTCAAGATTTCTAAGGTTATACCAGTCCATAAAAAGGGGCCTAAAAATGTTATTGCTAACTATAGGCCTATATCTATTATCCCTGCAGTGTCGAAGGTCTTGGAACATCTCGTACATCGTAGATTTTCTCAGTATCTTGAGGATAGTAACCTTTTAGCAAGTAGTCAGTTTGGCTTTAGGCCCAAACACAGCACTGTCCAAGCAACCCAGGCACTGATATCAAATTGCTTTCAAAGTTTAGAGGCCAAAAGTGGCATAGTGTTTAGATCGTACGACATGTCTAAGGCCTTTGACACAGTGGCTCATGATCTCCTTGTGGATAAGCTTTCTTGCTATAACCTTGATGCAGTTTTGGTTAAGTTCTTTCAATCTTATCTAAGTGACAGATGGCAAAAAGTCTATCTAAACGGCACTTATTCTAGCCCTGTTCGAGTGCCCCACGGAGTGCCCCAAGGCTCTATATTGGGCCCTACCCTGTTTATACTGTATATAAATGACTTACCTTGTAATATTAATGACTTATCTGTAAAAAGCTTTCTTTTTGCTGATGACTTGGCCTTGTGTGTACGGGGTAACTCTTTGAATGACGTTACAGATACATTGGATACAAAATCTGCTGTTATTAATGACTGGTGTAATGCAAACAAGTTATGTCTTAATGCTGATAAGACTCAAGACCTAACTATTAGTCTTAGCAGTAATGGTAATGATGTAAACACTCTGAAGTTTTTGGGTTTTCACTTGCAGTCAAACTTGAAGTGGTTTTCACATGTAGATTTTGTAGCTTCTAAGATTGTAAAAGGCATATTTATGATAAGAGCACTTAGATCCACTGTTTCAGTTGATGTCCTTATTTGTATATATTATGGCCACATTCATAGCTATTTGTCCTATGGTACCTCACTGTGGGCCAACAGTTTTTATGCTAACAGGTTGCTCTTTACTTTACAAAAGAAGGCGGTGAGGTTAATTTGTAGTGTGAATAGAAGAACACATTGTAAGCCCCTTTTTGTGGGTCTTAACATTCTCACATTTCCATCTTTGTATGTTTTGGCAAGTTTGTTATATGTAAAAGAAAACATTTCTCACTTTGAAAAGATATCTGATGTGCACAACTACTGTACTAGATCAAAAGATAATCTGTCTACACTAAGGCATAAGTATACAGCCACTCAAAATAGTTTTGAGTACCAAGGTGTTAAAATGTACAATTTCTTGCCTGCATCCATCAAAAACCTGTGTGTTTTAAAATTCAAACATGCTATAAAAACTACTCTAACCCAGGCTTGCCTGTATAAACATGAAGAGTACTTTGGTTTAGAGTTTTAGATATTTTAGTTGCCAGAGCCATCTTGATTGTTTTGTTTTTATTTTGACGATTGTCATGAACTTTGTACATAGTTTTAACGACAATAAATCATTTCATTTCATTTTAAGTGTAATGTGAATAGATTAACAATATTAGTCTTGCTTTAGACCTAACTAATCTATTGCTACTGATTGACGTTGGATGAAAAATTCTTCACTACCAGATCAAGCTTAGCCATATAGGATTTTTATTCTTTTGTAACGGGTCAAATGTGTAGGGGGTAAAATAACGGCTAAACCACGAACTTTAAACAGCTAAACATAAGCTGTTGAGTAAGCCTAGTCGCGACACTAAACTGACGTCGTACCTAACCTCAAATTCCAAGACCGCAGACGACGTTGGTGTCAGTTTGGTTGTTTGGCTGTTCGACTGCGTCTGAGGCCGGGCTACGGGAGAGAAGATGAGCAGCGGGGTCACCTTTGCATCATATCACCTTATGCGGGGTGCATCTAGATGCTATAAAGAAAAAAATTAGATCTGCATCATCTGTCTTTGTCCACTTGAGAGAATGTGTCACCATTGAAGTACTTAAAATGGTTTATCATGCCTATGTAGAATCCATCTTGAGGTATGGTGTGATTTTGTGGGGACAGGCAACTGATGCAAAAACTATTTTCAGACTTCAGAAAAGAATCATCCGAATTATGACTAATTCCCACCCCAGAAGTCCTTGTAAATTACATTTTCAAAATTTAAAAATCCAAACACTCACAGGACTATACATATTTGAATTATTAAACTACATACACAATATAAAAAATAACCTCCCGGATTCATTCAAATTCACACACAACTATAGTACAAGAAACGAAACAATTTTCAGATTACCAAATCACCGTTTGACCTTATTTGAAAAAAGTCCTTTGTATGCAGGTTTAAAAATGTATAATAAACTATCGGTATATTATAAAATAATGAGTTCAAACAAGTTTCAAGAAACATTGAAAAATGGACTCCTTGAACGTGCGTTTTATAAAATAGAAGAATTTTATAACCATCCCTTGAGTTAATTTTTTGTTTTTAATTTGCTTAACTACTGTACTGTATTAACATTATTTGGCTAGGTATTTTTTCCTGTTACTTTGTACTTTGTATTTTTCTAGTCTAGGCTCAATTTTGACAATGCACCTGTTCTATATGTTATCACATCTAAAAGAATGTTATGTGCAAATAAATAATGTCTAATGTCTAATGTCTAATGTCTTTGAGCGGTACGCGGCTGTAAGCCTGTTAAAGCTGCCATGCGCCTGCCTTCGCTGCCAGTTTTTTTTTGTTTCTGTAACTCGTTGACCAATCAGGAATCGTTTTAACTTTCGTCTCCATTCTGAGACGAAGGTGAAGTAAGAAGAAGTTTTGTGAAGTTTGGTTCATTCGTATTCCCGGCTTTTGTTGAGGCATTCGCTAATTATTCGTCCTTTTGTCTTCGATTTGAAGAGTTTTCGTGCTACTACTTCGTCGTAAAAGTCACAGTAAGTTCTGTGGTGCATCGAGTGCGCGAAAAATCGTTTTTTACAGTATTACTACTTCGTTTGGTAAGTTGTACAATAAAACTTAGACAACTTAGGTTTTTCTTTCGGCAGAACTTTGTCGAAGTTCATAGGCTAGGCCTGATTCGCAGACCTCGTCATACGCTTTAACCAACTCATTTAATTAAAGTATCGGAGTTGGTGACAGATCATTTCGATTAACGTTTCGTAATCCATATCTGGGACTTTCTTTTTAAATTCTTAAACCCCTTTGTAAAGTTCCCGAACGCCCCGAAGTTGGCCCCAGCAGACAGGTTTCTGCTTGATAATTATTGCAGAAGTTTGCTTAAGTTGAACACGTGGGGAAGTTGAAGTTTTAGTTTTTCTTTTTTCGTATCAGCTCCTGAAGCAGTTTTATTTTTAGTTTCAGTTTTTTTTTCTCTCGTTTCGTGTCTCACTTGGACAACTTAAGCCAACTCGTTTTCTTGTTTAGTAAATTCAGACTCTGTGGGAGTTAGGCTAGGTTAGGCCTATCTTGTACTAACCTTGTTTGTTTCAGGTCGACGACGTAACTCCGTAGGTAAGCGGAGTGACTACTTAGCTTACTTGTTGATTTGTTAAGTTAGCTAGTAGTGTGTCATTTAGATATTTGCCCACGGAGTCAAGTCAAAATTATTATTTTGCCCACAAGCCCTAGGCTAGAGTGGTGATTTCTAGTTGGGTGGTTAGTAACCCGCCACGTTCGTCTCGAGCTCTGACAACCGGGGCTATCAAAGTTAGGCTATCCGAATCACTATCGACTCCTGGCCCCGCGACCAGACTAGGGCGAATCCTGGGATCTCGTTTTCTTACCGGTGGCGTAATTTCCCTCTTGTCGTCCGCCAGGAAAATTACGTCACATAAATGGCGCCCGAAACAGTTGGACCAGTGATTGGATAGTCTGATAGTACTTGGTGAGCTCAAGCTAAGATCGCTGTAGCAGCTGACGGAGAGTTGCGAGATTTTACTTAGCCTACGTTAACCGCTCTAGCCTATCAAGTATTCGCCTAGGCCTACTGTTATTTTTTATTCTACGTTAACGTTCTAGCCTAGCATTTCTAGTTTATTAGGTAGCTTAGGCCTACATATTTTCTGGTTTCGTCATTGTAGCCTATTGCTAGCCTAGGCCTATTGGTGTTTAGCGTTAAATATTTTAGCCTATTTGTGTGATAGCCTATTTATTTTAGGTAAAACGTTTACTTTATAGTAGCCTATTGCATTTTAGCCTTTTATTATTGGATTTTGGAGCAGTTTGGACTTGGTCCTATTTTAACAAATTTTCTGGGTTTTGAGTACCTAGTTGGGACTTAGGCTGGTAAAAAAAAAAAAAAAAAACAATATTTTTTTTTAAAGTTGTCTTGTTTGGACTTACTTAGTGCTGTTTAACGTTAGGCCTGAATTTAAATAGGCCTATTGTGGATATTCATAATTGTTAATCAATTTCAGCCTCTTAAACTATTGTTGCAATTTGTTTAAGTCTTGTTGTGCACTAATACTTTGCAGCTATGCCCAACTCGCTCCCTGAAATTTTGACAACGACGCCAGGAGTTCTAACCATGGCTGGGGCCGTGGTGACTACGTCATCGGTTATCCCTACCTGCTCGTGTGCATCAACAGTTACTACTACGTCAACGGTGTACACACGACCGGTGACCTCGACTGGCTATACCGCTCCGCTCTACCCAACGGATGATCCACGTGTCGGCTGGATACATGAGCTGTCAAAGCAACAGTTGATGGTGGAGATGGCGCGACACCAATTGCCATCACACGGTACACTGGCGGAACTGCGGAAACGTCTCTGCACATACTGGCGGAGCAACGCTGGCACATCGTCTTCTCCAACCTCCCAGGAGGAGGTGCTTACGACTGGCCAGGTGTTAGATAACCAGGCCCGGACTTCGATGCATGATACTACTCCACGCCCATCGCCTTTCGACTACCGAACGGGGTCCATTCATCATCCTACTGCGTGGAGGCCACCCGGTACCTATGGACTCGTAGGCCTACCCCCTGCGACATTCCAGCGTCAGAGCCCACCTGCTGCGGTCACCTCGGCACCGCACGAACTGTCCTTCGCCGGACAAGAGGACGTTACTGATGCCCAGCATACCTTCGACTCGGCTCAAGGGTCTCTGCCTCGGGAATACCCCTTCGAGGACCCAATACATCGAAGTTTGGACCGCATACGCCAAATGCTAGGCCTATCGACCAATGCCGACCTGCGCAGCATGGAGCACACGTTAGCCGAGGTGTTGAACCTCGAACGGCGGGGCCCAAGAACACATGATGCTGACTACGCTGAGCCGCCAGCTAACGAGATGGACCAGCTAACCTCTCGGTACGCCGTCCCGTCTCGGACGAACGATGTGTATGGAGGTGTCCGGTCTTCGTACGTCCTGCGGAGTCATGACCTGCATGAGGACGTTGCTAAAACGTCGTCCGCCCTCTGTGACAAGGTCCGGAAGTGGAACTTGCGCTTCGACGGCAGACGAGATGCGGTTTCGTTCCTGGAGCGTCTAGAGGAGCTGCGCGAGGCCTACTCTCTGTCGCCAGAGGACGTTTTGAAGGCTTTGCCTTCACTTCTACATGGCCAAGCTCTCCTCTGGTACAGGAACAACAAAATGATGTGGCGTTCCTTCCACGACTTTAGGCGGGCATTCGAGGTCCAGTTCTTCCCTGCTGGCTATCATCGCCACTTGGATGACGAGATACGGAAGCGCACTCAGGGTGAAACAGAGGCATTTAAAGATTTTGTGATTGCCCTGACAACCCTGATCCGACGGAGCGGCACTTTCTCTAACCAGGAAACCATCGACCTGGTGTACTTGAACATGAGGCCGGAGTACAAGTTCATGATACGACGTCATGACTTTGTCACGCTACCCGACCTCATCGAGCGAGCCGACGAATACGAGGAGCTGCTACGGGAGCGCAAGCTGTTCCGCCCTCCCCCTCCAGTTGCTCAAGCGTTGGTACCTGAGACTGCCTACACGCCCAGGCGTCGAATGGACCGTTTCGTCGATGTTGCGGTGATGGAATATTCGGAGCCTGACTGTAAACTGCAACCTACCTCGCCAAAGACCGGCCGCACTGGTGATTACCCTGCAAGGAGTGGGGGTAACCAGGCAAGGCATACGACGCCCACCGTCCCTAACCATATGCGCCAAGGCCTACCGTCTACGAGCCCATCACGATCATCGAGTAACCGCAACCCTCCAGTCTGCTGGAACTGTGATGCACGCGGACATGTCTTCCGAGATTGCAATCAGCCGAAGGTGTTGCGGTGTTACTACTGCAAACAAGTAGGAGTGGCCACTACGAGCTGCGGTTGTCTTCTAGTTTTTTAATTGTATCTCCACCTTTTCCAATTATTAGTCCGGTTGAGGCTAAAGTAGGACTAATAATTGGAAAAGGTGGAGATACAATTAAAAAACTAGAAGAAAAGTCTGGAACAAAAATGATAGTTGTTAAAGATGGCCCATCACACGAAAGAGAAAAACGTCTAAGAGTTAATGGAGAACCGGAACGAGTGGAGGTAAGGTAGAATTTCTGTTATTTTTTAAATATAGCCTATTTTTAGTACAATACTTAAGTTATCACTTGTTTTTTTGTATAAAATAACCAGTTTCTGCCTTTTTCCATGTTCACTTTGTTCCATGTTGTCATGTTGACTAAAAAGGGAGGCTGATTAAAATTCACTTGTAAAATAAAAGCATTTTGAAATTTCTAGAACAACTTTCACAATTTTGAGTAGAAAATTATGTTAAAGCATCAGATAATTTTGTTTTGCAGTACTTGATTGTTTAAGTCCAAAAAACAAAGGTATTCTATAAGTAACTTAATTTGCACTTTCAGTTAATTGACTAGAAGCTTAAAATACCCCCGCTGCAGCAAACCTGCAGACTAAGCGAATTTCCATTTGACTGATTGGATTTACACTGAAATGTCTACTTAAAAATATAACATTTATTCTTGATTTAAATAGAATTAGTTTAACAAGTACTTAGGTTTGCTGCATCAGGGAGGGTAAAACTGTTTTTTTTTTGTAAAATGTGAATAGTTAGTAAGAAATAAAAACATTTTCCAAATTTGATCAAAATATGTTCACAAACAAGCAAACTACAACAGTTTACTTATTCTCCATAAGAATAACATGGGAATTTTAAATTTACAATTTTTTGGAATTTTCTCCGTAACCATTAGGCGCATAGTAACGCTTCAATATACTAAATTATTTGTTTTTTTTAAGCTCTACAAAATGGTTTGGAAAGAAATTGCTAAATCTTATGTTTTTTGGGTCAAAAATGGGAAAAACCTATTTTTACCCCATAAAACCCCCCGTAAACCCCCGTTCCCATGGTCCGATCATGCTGGATCGCGAACTCGTTCGAATAAACGTACTTTTACACGTTTGTACCAAATTTCATCAAAATCGGATCATTTTTGCTCGAGTTATCGTGCTGACGGACACATATATATATATATATAAATATATAAATATATAAATATATATATATATGAATTTGAACGGATGGTGTTTTTGGCCTCTAGGGACCTCAAATCGAAAAAAAAATCGGTCCCGCGTCCAGGTCTTACCATGAGTACTACGGTAATAGCTTATTCCCTATATGGGAAATTCGCTAAAAGTTAAAAATGTATTATACATCTGTTAGGCCTAGGGGCTACTAACTTGATTTGTAATTTAAAATTAATGCATAATAATAATAAACAACACACTTTGAAACAACATTCTTTTCCTGTATTCTGAAAAAATGTTTTATTAATGTTTTTTTTCTTCATTTTTCAGTATGCCATAACTTTAATCTATGAACTCATGGCTCAGAATGAAATACAGGTAATATTAGAATTAAAGTTGTAGTCAAATAAAGTTGTACCTAATTAAGTTGTACAGTTGTAGTAATTAAGGGGATCTGAACACTAAAAATTTTCAAAAAATTCAATTTTGATATATGGTACAGAAGCCTACTCAACCATTTACGAACTAGAGAGCGATAAAGTTTTGATTTAGTCTCTCTAACAGCTTATATTACTAAAAAGAAAAACAATAAAAAAAAACTTTAAAACCACAAGAAATTATAAATAAATGGTACGGTTTGAACAACAACTATTCTCAGACTGTAAGTTACACATGTTAGTAGATGTACAGGTTAGGTATTGTTGATTATTATTACAACAATGCTAGTAAACAACTGGCAATGGAAATGGTCGCTTCAGCCGTTCTGGAGGAGTATTTGTAGAACAAAAGTAGGAGTGGGGTATAAGAGATTTGCTTCGCTTTCTTCAATAAATTATTTTTGACCTTACAAAATCATGCCATTTTACTGCCTCCCCTTGTAGGCTATTATATCTTTTTTGTAAAACTGATTTAAATGCTGTAAAACTTATGCTCATTGAGTTTTGCAAATTAATTATAGTTAATATTTTTTTATACATTTCTTCTTCTCATTGCTGTAGGAAGCAAATCGCCGAATTCTTCGAAGTACTCCGAACCTGGATATTTCCTATTTCGAAAAGCTACCACCATTAAAAAGAACATCTAGGAAGCAAAAGGTTTGTATAGAATTGTTTTTTCAATTTTTTTTTATTTAGAGCTGTAAGTATTTAGAATTTGATGTATAATTTGGTATTGTATTAATAAATATCCCCACTTCATCAATCCTCAGATTAAACACATTTGCATTTAAATCAAATAAAAAATCCTTTATTCAAATAGTACATTTGAATACAGTCTAACCTTGATATAACGAATTCTTTTCAATCCCCTAGAAATCTCCATAAGACACAATATATATTTTACCTCTACATAACAAACAGACCATAACAACGACCTTGATTAAACAATTTTTTTGTGATTTCGGCTAAAATAAGACACCTCAATATAGCATATTTATCACTGTCAGAACCTCTACATAGCAAATTTAACCTCTACTTAACGAATTCTCTGCGTATTTCCCTGGATATATAAGATATATATATAGTATGGTAAGTGTTGAGATATTTTTATCAGAACGTGCTCTGTAAGATTAAATTTATTGTACAACTTTTAATTTTGCAATATAATACATTATTCAAAGAATGTTAATACAGAACTGGATACTATCAATAACTTTTGCTCATGATGATTAGGGTAGGCTTTTAGACCTGGCATATTTGCATGCTCCTTTCGTTAATCACTTTAATTTACATTTCTGTTTTTTTTTTATATGAATAAATATATCTTTGTAGTCACATGACATTTTCAAAATTACATAACAACAGCTACAAAAACAGGTGACATTGTCAGTATAATCATAATAGCATAGACAAATAGAATAAATATCGACCGTCAGCTGGGCTGCGGTTAGCATAAGTTCTGGTGACCACCGCTAGGTTTGCTGTGTAGTTTTGGCACACACCACTGCAGCGTCTGCTGGTCGTGTACAGCTCCTGCGCTCCTCGCCTGTAGCGGCCTAGCGGTGAGCGCCGGAAGCTTCCTTTGACAGTCTATATTTATTCTATTTGTCTATGATAATAAATAAACAAAAACAGCTGATTTGCAAATTGAGCCAAATACTTTCAATCGTTTTTTTTGACAGTGTAGACAAGATCAAACAAAGTATTAAGACTCCAGGTATAATCACTTCTTATAATGAATTTTTTTTAAATATGAAATTGATAGTTGTAATAAATTTTGTTGGTCAGCCATCACACCTAGTGATATTCTTAGTGCCACTAAAGGGATTAAAAGATCAGCTAGTGTGGATGTGTACAATATGTCAAACAACCTATTAAAAGTAATTATTGACTCTTTGGCTAATCCCTTGGCAATATGCATAAATAATCTTTTATCAGAAGGGGTTTTTCCTGATTTACTCAAAGTCTCTCGAGTCTGTCCCATTTACAAAAAAGGCCCTAAGGACCAACCTCAGAGCTATAGACCAGTTTCAATTATACCTGTATTGGGAAAACTAATGGAAATAATTATTTACGATCAAATCAGAAATTATTTTGAAATACACAACATTTTTAACAACAATCAATACGGTTTTAGAAAAGGAAAATCTACTCTCTTTGCATTGGACGATCTAGTCAGGCAAGTTCATCTCTCTTTTGAAAATAAGACTTATGCTCAGGCCACCTTCTGTGACCTCAGTAAAGCATTCGACTCTGTTGACAGCTATATTCTTATCTCTAAATTACAGTACTACGGATTTGATGGCCCTCCATTATCTTTTTAAGAAGCTACTTGCAAAATCGGTAACAAGCAGTTTGTATAAAAGGAAGATGGTTAGATGCAGTGTCAGTTGAATGGGGAGTACCACAGGGTTCAGTCCTTGGTCCCCTTCTTTTCTTAATCTATATAAATGATCTACCCTCTTCTGTTGATTGTAAAACCATTCTGTACGCACACGATTTCTACTTTTTTATGTACAAGTAAAAACTATATAGAACTTGAAAAATTGGCTGATGAAACATTAGATAAAGAAAAATCACAAAAATTAATATTTTCCTTAAATAATAATTCAAGAGAGTTGTTTCAGAACAGTGATAAGGTTAATACAGTTTTTTTTTCAGCAAAGTTCTTGGGAATGTATGTAGATAGTCAGCTAATGTGGGATTCACATATATACTATTTAAATACCAGACTTCCTCATGTAATATTTTTACTAGGCCGTCTGAAAAAATGCATTCCACTAAATTATGTCCAAACAGCATATTTTTTATATTTTCAATCCATTTTCAGGTATGTGCTGATTTTTTGGGGCAATTGTGCTAGGGTAGAGAAAATTCTTGTTTGGCAAAAGAAAGGGGTTAGAGTTATCTCTAATAAAGGCTCGAGAGACCACAGCAAACCACTTTTTAAAAATCTTCAAATTCCTACTATTATTAACATGTATATTTATGACTTAATAGTTTATATCTTGGAAAATCAACATCTTTTAAAATTTAGACACAATACTCATAACAATAAGAACCATACATCAATAGAATTCCATCGTTTAAGTAAAACTCTAAATAGTCACATAGTTTTGTCACTTAAAGTGTATATAACTTTCTTGAATCCATAATTAAATTGTATACTATAAAGGATTTCAAGAATAAATTTTATTGTTGGCTGACCAATAACCCATTTTATAGTTTGGAAGATTTTTTTAACAATAAGATTCTTCAGTTGTATTTATTTTTTTTTTTTTTGCAAGTATTGTATATGTCTCCTTTTTTTAGTTAGCTATAAGTATTTAATTAACTATTAACTGACTGTGCTATAAGTTTGTTTAGCTGTATCATGACGTTGTCAATAATTTGTTAAAATTCAAAAGACAATAAAGCATATTTCATTTCATTTCAATAGGTAGGCTTGCCTAAAATAAGAGAGAAAAATAATAAAACAAAGATTCTTGGAAATAATGTTTTGTCTTAAATTTTTTTAAACTAAAATAATTAAAAAATTACCTTTAACACTGAAATATAATTTGTTTACAAAAAATTAAATAAATTATATACCTTGTCATAAGTTGTCCTACAAACAATAAAACAATTGGTATCACACATTATTAATAATTGTTAATACAGTAATTACCAAATATTTTTCTGGTTGAACAAATAAAATTTTTTGAACACTTAGTTCAACAGTGAATAAATAGTTTTTCTATGTCAACAATTTAGAACAGTATTCCTATCTTTACATTTTGCAGTTTTTCCCCATATTTGCAATTGTTATAAGAGGTTTCTTGGAGAGAATCACAGAATAACTATCTAATCCTATGAAGTAGAATAACAAACGTAAAATTTGTTACGCTTTTTAAAAGGTGGAGGCTAATGAATGCAATATTTAAATTAGTAATATTAATATCAAGTCCTTTGTGCTTTTATTTTGTTTTATTCATATTCTTACTTTAAAAAAGTGAAATAGCTTTAATTCAATTCAAATATCTTTATTCAATTTTATGTACATTGTACAATAAATAGTGTCAAAATAGTTTAACAGGATAAAAAACAGCAAAACATGAAGAATGGTTATAAGAACAACAAATACATTTTACAACTCTAGTAAGATAATTTCAACTGTCATAGTGACTGAGGGAGGTAAAAAAATCTACAAAAGAATCAATTGCTAATTTTATTAAAAAACTCTTTCAATATTTTTTTTTAATTTGTTTAGATCTGTTTCTTTTTTAATATTTTTTTGGAATAAATTTAAAAAATCTATTACCTGTATAATAAATGTTTTTAATAAAGTTTTAATTTTTCACAGAAGGATGACCAAATTGAAAATGATGCTTGTGATGGCCCTTCAAAAAAAACGGCATTCCAATTCAGCAAACAAACGACAGTAAGCGAACCTAGCTATTAATTTGTCTTATTAATGTCTTAGTGGGCCTTTTGTCAACAATATTGAAATATTTACATGGTTTTCATTTTTAAGTAGTATTAGTAATTTTCAAATAATTATGGCAAGTAGGGATGTATTTCTATCAAATTTTCTACTAAAGTAACAAAGTTTTCCAGGTTGGAATAACTTAACCAATACCTAGCTAAATTTCTATGATTGGAAACAAACATGGTTGGTCTGTATTAAGTGTAATGTAAATAGATTAACAATATTAGTCTTGCTTTAGACCTAACTAATCTATTGCTACTGATTGACGTTGGATGAAAAATTCTTCACTACCAGATCAAGCTTAGCCATATAGGATTTTTATTCTTTTGTTTGATATGTTGAAATTTTGCCTCTTGTCGATGGTGAGGGGTCTTTTGTGTTTGGTTGAAAGATGATTAGAACAAGATTTTAAAAATTGCCTTGCATGAGCAATAGTGTTACCATGGGGTTAATAGCTAAAATATGGTTGATATCTTCTTTTCTTGAGGACTTTAACCCTCCAACTGCCAAGCGCCGGAAATCCGGCGCCTGACCCGCCGGCTCTAGTGCCGAGCGCCGGGAATCCGGCACTATTACAGCGTTACGTAATCTGCTCTTAGTAGCTTAGATTGCATAGAAAATCATTTTATATATATATCATTTTAAAGAGGAGATTCTACTCTTTCTCTATGTTCTGGTTTCAGACGCTATTACTCTATGCGTTGTTGCATAACGTTAATCGCGAAACACAGCTGCTGTCGGCTGCCGTCAGTTTATGCGTGTTTACAAACATCTTTGTTTATCGTATTTTGGTTACATTTTCGCGTATTATTACCGTGTTTATACGTTAGTAAATGACTCGAAATGGATAGTAGTGATATACGTGGTGCCCTTGATGACGAACTGAGTGATCCTGACGATCCAAACGCTGTACCTGATACAAATTACGACGAGGGAAGTGATCTGGACTTGGATTTGCCCGACTTTCCCGACGATTCCGACTCTGAATCGCTTTTAGATTTTTCCTCGGGAAGTCAGTCTGGGGACAATTACTCTCCACACTCTAGTGAGTTAGAAACGTCTGATCATGAAGGTGAAGAGAACATAGGACTGCAACCAGAACGAGAAGGTACGCCACCTCCAAGACCTAGGCCTAGGCCTAGGCCTGTAGCTCCTACTCTAGACCCTTGGGTGAGGGTTTATCCTCCGGAACAACCCAAGAATGTTGATGCATTATTTATGGTAAGGGACACTGGCTTCAAAAATGCACCTCCAAGGAACAGTAGTCCAATAGTTTATCTAAATTTATTTCTAACTGCCTCTTTTTGGAATATTCTTGTTAGAGAGACCAATGCCCATGCTACAAGGTTTATTGGAGAACAGAACTTGACCCCAAACTCTCGCTACCATAAGTGGACAGCTGTAACTGTAAATGAACTAAAGAAATGGTTTGGAATCCTGTTCAACATGGCCCTAACAGTTCGAAAAAACATTCAGAATTATTGGGACACTAGGCCTCAACAGCACATCCCTTTTTACTCACAGACCATGCCCAAAAACAGATTTTTGCTGATAAGTACATTTTTACACATGACCTCTGCAAGAAACCTTCCAAGGGATGATCCAAATTATGATGCATGGGTAAAGATTAGATGGATGTTAGACCATATTAACACAAATTTCAAGAAGTATTTCACACCTGGTCAGGATGTATGTATAGACGAGAGTCTCATCGGTATGAAACATCGATGTGCATTTATTCAGTACTTGCCAAACAAAAAACATAAGCAGTACGGAATAAAAAAGTTTCAATCTTGTGATAGCAAAACAAGCTACGTTTTACACGTAGAGCTTTATAGTGGCACTGACTACCTTGCTGCACAACCGAGACTAGATGACGGTGAAGAAGTTGGAGCGAATCTGTTTACACATAGAGTTGTGATGCATGTGATGGAGAGGAGTGGTTGTCTGGACAAAGGGCATCATTTATATACAGACAACTTCTATACAAAGATTCCCTTAGCAGAAGAGCTTCTTCAAAGGAATACATTCATAACTGGAACTATAAACAAACGATCTAAACATCTATCAAAAACTGTGAAGCAGGCAAAGCTTGGCGAGCGGGAAAGCATATATTTTAGAAAGGGCGAAGTTTTGTTGGTAGGGTTCAGACAAAAAGTAACCAGGAAACCAGTTTTAGTTGTAACAACAGGCTACCACGCAGAAGACCAAATAGTTAGAAGTAAGAAAGGACTTGTCGGAAGAAAACCACTCCTCATTCATCAATATAATCAGTCCATGGGAGGAATTGACGTTAGTGATAAGTCGGTTTATCACTTGTCCTGCAACCGACAAACTTCCAAATATTGGAAAAAGATATTTTTCAATTTCGTCGACCTTTGCATGTTCAATGCCTGGACATTGTACTGCCTGAACACTGATAGGCCAAAAAGTAGGAGAGAATTTCACATCTCTATCATTGACTCCCTTGTTACTCAAGATATGCGTGCTGCACAAGCTGCACCTGGACCTGCGGGGGATGGTGCCCACCGACTTGAACACTTGCCCAGGAAGAACAATAAAAAGTGTGTTGTCTGCAATATCCCAGGCAAAGGAAAAGGAAGATCTGATTATTGGTGTCCTGGCTGCAATGCTGGTGTGCACAAACAGTGTTTCCACCAACTTGAGCACTACTGGAGGGCTCAGAGGGGTGCCAAAAGGCAGCTGGTCCAACTTGACTCGGATTCAGACTAAATCGGAGAATGAGTTTCTGTAAATAGTAGGACTAAATATATGTAGTTTCATGGATTGTGAACTTTAATTTTTTGTGTATATATTACTGTGTATTGATAGCACTTTTGAACTCGATAGAATTGTGATAAGAATTGGGTAACAAAAACTAGGTAAATAATGTGTGAACAAGTGCGGTCTTGGATAAACATTTATTATTTCTTGAGGAAATCACATGGACAACAAATATAGGCTATGTGAGTATTTGCTTTTATTTCCTAGAAGGTAGTCTTGTATATAATGCATGGTAAAAAATATATATTATATGCGTGCATGGTTTACATCATTTTGGAAACTTGTATGGGTTTGAAGGCTTTGTCGTGTTGGCTGTTTTCGCATATCGTACAATTTTATGAACTGAGTGCTTATATATTATTTTTAGTCCAAATAACTGTATATATTCTTGTTCCTTATAATATTTTGGACAAAATGGCTATTTCAGATTGCTGATTATGAGTAATTAGAAAATTTTGAGGGGGTGCTGACTTTATAAAATAAACTTTTTAATTATTTATTTATTTATTTTTTCACCACAGAATTTTTATAATACTATTTAACTAGCTGATACTGGTTATTTTCATGTAGCTGGCTTTATAAGGAGTAAAATGATATGCAATATGTCATACTTTACAACATTTCTATCGTAACAATAATGTTTTTAGTAAAAACTTGCAAAAAGACCAAAAATGGCCCGGCACTCCACAGTAACATACATGGCAGCCGGAGGGTTAAAAAGAATAATTTTTCTAATTCATCCATTTTAATTCCTATCAGTTTTCTCTGTCTGTAGTAAGCTATAGGCTACATACACTCTAAGGTGAATTATCAGTGTTGTGTTTAAAATTTATCAAATTCTTTGTATTTGGTGTACGGTAACTTTTAACTTTTGATAGGCAAATTCCTTTCTCTAAAAGCTCCTCAATTAGACATATGTATTTTCCTTTTGATTTGATTAAAGGCTTAGTATTTTATTCAATCCTTTTTGTTTTACAGATTGAATTAATGGTACCTGGCCCTAAAGTGGGACTTATAATTGGAAAAGGTGGTGAGACTATACACCGACTACAAGAAGTCTGGAGCAAAATTGTTAGTTATTAAAGATGGGTCTTCACAGGAAAAGGAAAAATGTCTAAAAATAACTGGAGACCCACTTAGCGTGGAGGTAAGGTAGAATTTCTGTTATTTTTTAAATATAGCCTATTTTTAGTACAATACTTAAGTTATCACTTGTTTTTTGTTTAAAATAACCAGTTTCTGCCTTTTTCCACTATTGACTAAATACCCCCGCCGCAGCAAACCTGCCGTCTAAGCGAATTTCCATTTGTCCGAAATGATTTTCAATTGATCTATTTAAATAACATTATTAGGTTTAACGAGTACCTAGGTTTGCTGCTACAAGGAAACTAATAAAGTAGTGTGTTTTTAGTAAAATATTGATAGCTTACTATAAAATAAATAAATTTGCCAACTTTGATCAAAATATATCCATAAACAAGCAAACTACAACATTTTACAATATTCTCCATAAGAATAACATGGGAATTTTAAATTTACCATTTTTTTAGTTTTCTCCGTAACCAATAACCGTACAAAAACACTTTGATATACTGAATTGTTTGTTTTTTTAAGCTCTTTAAGAAGGTTTAGAGAAAAATTGGGAAATTTTGTGTTTTGAGGGTAAAAAGTGAGAAAAACCCATTTTTACCCCATAAAACCCTGTTCCCATGGTCCGATCATGCTGGATCGCGAACTCATTCAAGTTTATCCCGCCTTACACCTTCAAACCAAATTTCATCAAAATCGGATAAAAATTACTCAAGTTATCGTGTTCACGGACACATATATATATAAATCTATATATATACATATATAAAAATTTGAACGAATGGTGTTTTTGGCCTCTGGGGACATTAAAATGAAAAAGTAAATCGGTCCCGGGCCTAAGTCTTACCATGAGACCTACGGTAATAGCTACTTCCCTATAGGGAAATTCGCTAAAAGGGAGGCTGATTAAAATTCACTTGTAAAATAAAAGCATTTTGAAATTTCTAGAAGAACTTTCACAATTTTGAGTAGAAAATTATGTTAAAGCATCGGATAATTTTGTTTTGCAGTACTTGATTGTTTAAGTCCAAAAAACAAAGGTATTCTATAAGTAAAGGCCTTTTCACACCGGCGTACTGGACGTACTGTACGTTTGGTACGGCCAGTTTGTACAGTACGCGGTCCTTTCACACCGCACAGAAACTTCCAAAACGTACACTTGTTCGTTTGCAGTCAGACAAGTAACACTGGCTGAGCACGTGGTTTTGGTGTGACCACTGCGCATGCGCGAGCTCGCGTACGCCTCGTACGATTTAGAAAAATCGCTCTCCGAGCGATTCTCAAAAAACCATCGCGTACGTACTGTACGTACAGTACGTTCTGTACGCGCGGTGTGAACGAGCCCATATGATAACATGGACAGCGATTTGTTGAAAAAAAACGTACCAAACGTACAGTACGTCCAGTACGCCGGGTGAAAAGGCCTTAACATAATTTGCACTTTCAGTTAATTGACTAGAAGCTTAACCCTCCGAGTGTCATGCGTCGCTGCAGCGACGCGTAACGCACTTTGTATAGTGTCGTGCGTCGCTACAGCGACTCGCGAACACTGTTTACGGCGAAGGCTCTATGACTAACTGAATCGGACTGTACTGGATTGAGTTAGGTATCGTTCTTTCCGTAATATTCTAAGCTTTCTCCTAGGTCTGTCTCTAAGCACTATTCATTTTAGTTCCGAAAATATTGTAGCAGACAGCTGATGAGCTGACGTGCGTGTATTTGTAAACAGCTAGGTTACCCTCGGACCGATGACTGATGTGTTTTATTACATTTATCATTGTTTTAGTGTTAAAAATCAAAAGTAGTGATATACGTGGTGCTTTATAAGAAGATTTAAGTGGTTTTGAAGTGCTGGTTGATGATCCTGAAGAAGTAGGTAGTGATATTGATGTAAATTATCAGCCAGATTCCTAGCTATGGTTGGGCTATGCATTCTTAGCTAAACGCTATGTACTGAAATCTGTTTTTTGCCCATAACTTATTTATTTGCAAATCTACTTCCTTATATTATTATATATTTGTAATCCTCATAAAATTTAGAACAAAGTGGCTATTTTCAAATATTTATAGGCCTATAATTTATACAATTTCATTGAGCGCAAACTTATTTTTTTTTTTTTTAATTTTCGAAATTATACATTTTTTTTACCTAAAAATTTTTTTTTTTAAAAATCTTCCTTATGTTTTATATATAATATTGAAGCCCAAGATTTTCCAAACAAAATGGTATATAGAACAGTATAATTAACATTGTTTTTAAGCTTCTCAGATCAGTTTTAATAAAATCTTGCAAATGAGCAAAAAATAGGCTGACATTAAGGCCAAAACACGTGACACTCGGAGGGTTAAAAAAGTTAAAAATGTATTATACATCTGTTAGGCCTAGGGCCTACTAACTTGATTTGTAATTTAAAATTAATGCATAATAATAATAAACAACACACTTTCGAAACAACATTCTTTTCCTGTATTCTGAAAAAATGTTTTATTAAAGTTTTTTTTCTTCATTTTTCAGAATGCTAAATTATTAGTCTTTGAACTCATCGCTGAGAATGAAATACAGGTAATATTAGAATTAAAGTTGTAGTCAAAGGTAATTAAGGGGATCTGAACACTAAAAATTTTCAAAAAATTCAAAATTTTTATTTTGGTGTTTTTATATTCTTTAGTTCATTCTGAACACGTTGATATATAATATACTAGCAGAGTACCCGTCCTTCGTACGGGGTTGGCATAGAAGTATAAAATGCTTATTGCAGTTACGGGAGAGGACATGGTTTAAGGAAATTTTGACTTTAAATTTATACGGTATCCTATAGTGTAGCACACATCTACCATAGCCCTAATTTTCTACAACTGCACCTAAACCATGGAAAAAGTAAAGTTTTCATTGTGTACCACAACGTTTTGTTGCTAGTTGGTTCAAATTAGCTGTTGTAATAAATGCAAAAAACATAATAGTGCTGCACCCTGTTGGTAAGCCTTACTTTTAATGCTATTAAATATCATAGAACCAACTTGTACACTTGAAACGGCTGACAAAATTCTTTTATTCCCTTAATATGAATACTCATAAGGCTAACATGAGAAAATCCAGAGCCAGAGCCACTGGGGCGGATCGTGAAAGTGTTTTTGAGGTATGAATATGTCTATATATTAATCGGGAATGTCAGCTATCATCACACCAAATTTCAACCTTATCGGTTTAGTATTTACTTAAGTATGTATTTGTCACATGCAAAAGAGACAATGTTGGTTCTTTGAAAATGCCAAATGGTATCACTCCTACCATTTAATTCAGAAACAAAACATAACTGTATAACTTAACTCAATAATAGTACGTTTTGGTTAACTAATACCGTTCATACGTATTTACGCTAACTACGATACAAAACCAATGATAGATTTTAAGGTACAGTAAAAGAACGCGTTTAATGGTTTGCACTGTAAACAAAAAAAAACTATCACAACAGTTACAAACCAAAAAATAGAAAAAATAGGAAAATATAAATAAATATGGAAAATAGGATAATTTTCTACAACAATATTTTAGTGAAATTATAATCAGGAAAATGGAAATTCCCACAGTCTATAGACTTGCTACGACAGGGGGATTATATTGCTGTTTACACAGAAATAAATCAAAAAAATAAACCTCATAAAACTCAGGAAAATGGCCTGGCAATGATTATAGAATCTCAATTATTTCTTATACATATCCATGAATGATTTATTTTACAACGAATTATTTCCTGTAAAATATTATTACAGCATTTCACAAATATTAGTACCAACTCAGTATAATAGATCATAAACATAAACAAATGATGTAACTGAAAGAATCATATACTAATGAAATTACATTAACATATGGTTTGACAGCTCCATTTAAGTAATGTTAATGTTTACAATAGGGCTAGTGACATCATTATTTTAAATTTATAATCCTTACCCTCTCTGTTCTAATATTCGTGCAGTATTTAATATGTTTGAACCAGCTGTGTGGAATTGTGAAATCAAAATTCATTTGACAGTTAGTTCTGCTTGTTTACATTTTTAAACTTTGTAGGTTTGTTCTTTGTTACCATGGATACCATCAATCAATATTTACTTTTAAATCTCTCACCTAAAATTTTTGAATGCCCTCGGGGCAGAGCCCTAGGACAATATCGAAGCGGGAATAGTTCTATATGTATCCTCGGAACTGTAGCTTCATTTGTGTGCAATTTGAGCCCAGTAGGTTCAGTAGTTTTTGAGATTAGCTCATACAAACACACAGACACCACCTCTTCTTTATAATAGTATAGATAGATAGATGGCATAACACTGCCTAGAAATGTTGAAAATATATTTTTTCTATATTATATTATTTATATTATTTTTCTGTGAAAGTTGAAGATTTTCCCTGATGATTATAATTAAGTGAATGCTCTAGTTATTATGTGAGACTGTGATTTCTGAAGCTTTGTTTATTACAGTTCTGCAGGTCAGGACATATCTGAGGACGTAGCAGACAGCCCCGTGCCCCCCGAAGCCGAAGAGGTTATCACTTAAATGGTAGTTTGTTTTTATTTACCCTCAGTTAATTTGTGAAGAATTAGTTTTGTGTATTGTGACTGTGTTCATTATTGTCTCATTCTAAATTAAAATGTTATGTGTTTGTTAGTAAATGTTTGTTTGTGTTTGGTCTTATTCTATATTTTTATTTTGTACTGCTGTTTTATTATTTGTAAATATTATCATGATTGAAATGTATGCATTGAAGTTGTTTACAAATTTACTGCCCAGAAGAAATGAAAGCGTCCTCTGCCACTGTACAAAGTAACCTGTGTAGTACCATATCAGTACTATGTGCAAAAGTACTCAAGCATGAGTGCTTGCATCGATTAATATAGAATGTAAATCCGTCCTTACTACTTCAAAAATATCTTGAGTAGTAAAAAATGTACATTTCAGACTATCGTACTTAAGCCAAATCAAACATTTGCTTGGTTGAAATATAACAGTAATTACTAATATATCAAAGCTCTATACCATAAAGTATGGTTTTGTTTGAAATTGACCAGTTAGATATTAATCTGAAGTATGAAACTTCAGTTGCTGGATTATAGCCTAATTTAGTTTCCAAGCTAAATAAGAAGGGTTTATTTAAGGGATTTAACCCTTTGAGCACTGGCTCAGTAACAACCTGAAATATCCTTCAATCTGAGATTTAAGTTTAGAACTATTGCACTTTTGGGCAGGTTGATTAGTGTTGTTAGGTAGTAGATAGTGAGGCTTCGCTCTGGCCAGGAGACAGCACTGGAAACTGAGGGTTCAAATACTTTCTCCTCAGGTCTGGTGTGCAAATTAAAAATGCTCTTATCTGTGGTAGGTGAACCAGAAATAAAGAGTAAAGGCGTATTCATTCAAGCAAACAGGATGGACGGATTCTTTGCGAGTTACACCTCTAATCTTTGCTAATATTTCTGCATGCATACTGTGTATGTTTTTGCCACAGATAAGTAAACAAAAGAGAAAATTTGCTTATAAAATGATCGTCAACCGTGCGCTAACAGCTTTAGTATGTTATCCAGAAATATTCTCTTTGACGAGCACTCACTGTCTGAGAATTCCTATCGCACAGGGTCCTCTTGCTCTACCGTAAATCCGTGAGCGTTGTAGTACATGAGGGCCAGCGGACAGTGTTGGACTTTGCCCTAGACTCCAACCACTAGACACCAACTCATTAAACAGTTCCTCTGTACTTTAATTCTCTGTGGTCCATGCTTCTCAAATTGGTTGTCAATTTTATGACATTTTTGTAATAAAGTAAGAGGGAAGAGGGAGTCTCCTGTAGCTAGCTTGCAGCAATTTCATAGTGATCATTATGGAATTAAACCTGGTCTGAATTAATTTTTATTTAATAGTTTCTTAATGTACATTTGAGTTTCCATTCACATTTACCATGATTTCATATTTTTTAAATAATTTCCTTAATCATATTAAATCTATGCTTTTATAACTCCGCAATCCAGCATGATCGGACCATGGGAACGGGGGTTTACAGGGGGTTTATGGGGTAAAAATTGGTTTTTCCCATTTTTGACCCAAAAAACATAAAATTTAGCAATTTCTTTCCAAACCATTTTGTAGAGCTTAAAAAAACAAATAATTTAGTATATTGAAGCGTTATTATGCGCCTAATGGTTACGGAGAAAATTCCAAAAAATTGTAAATTTAAAATTCCCATGTTATTCTTATGGAGAATAAGTAAACTGTTGTAGTTTGCTTGTTTATGAACATATTTTGATCAAATTTGGAAAATGTTTTTATTTCTTACTAACTATTAACATAAAAAAAACAGTTTTACCCTCCCTGATGCAGCAAACCTAAGTACTTGTTAAACTTATTCTATTTAAATAGGGAATAAATAATGTTATATTTTTAAGTAGACATTTCAGTGTAAATCCAATCAGTCAAATGGAAATTCGCTTAGTCTGCACGTTTGCTGCGGCGGGGGTATGTCATTTTATTTACCGAAGGACGAACGGTCTTATGTGATCGTTGGGGAGAACCATAAGTTAATTTCCCTAAAAAGTTTGATTGTTGTACCTGAAATATACTAGTTAATAGTTTGTTCAAAAATAGGCCTACATGATACGTTGACTAGTACATTTGATTTTTTTTGTATGAGGTTAAAAGCCACCATCACCCATGGAAATGATTGCCAAGAGGTTCTAGTGATTTATAAGGGATCTGGATTTGACGGTGAATGAGGTATACTAAGCTGCTATTGGTGACTTTCAAACTTACGGAATAAACCTTGCCCTCTCTATAAAGAGGTGTACGGTCTAAAAAGAAGACAATAATAGGTTTTTTACATACCTCAGTCGACTTATTTGACTGAGGTATGTAAAAAACCTATTATTGTCTTAACAATATAGTCCAGGGGCTGAAAACATGAATTTTGACTAAAAAGAAGATATACTCATTTTGATAATTATAAAATTAATTAAAGGAAAAAGGTTCATTGGTGAAGATGGATAGAAAAGCAAAAGGGAATGACGAGTTATAGGAAATTATAACATATTTGGAATTATAAGGTTTTTTATTTCAACCGACTCTACAAACACTTATACAATATTTTTACAATGCCAAGGCGACAATGATAACAGATGTTTATTTTCCTACAGTCACCCGACAAAGTTGGCTTCCTTGTACTGTTTATAGTACAGAAAGCTGCTAATTGCTGCATATTTATACTTTGCCGTACGGTTTATACTTTGCCGTACGGTTTATACTTTGCCGCACATCAGGATTCCAACGAAACAACACAAAACAGCGTGGTTCCATTATGCACGTAATCCGTGTACGCTTGGAAATAGGTTGGTAACACTTAAAGATAATTATACTATGAGCAGCTGATTGACTATTATAACTACGATTTAACCTGTCATTTCGTGTTTATAGTTTCGGTATTTCTGAACTTTCTGGACTTCTTTTAAACGTTTTTAAAACCTTCCTACGATCTTAATAAACAAGAAAATACCTTTTCAGCATTCTTTTAGGCGCGGAAACCACTTCAAATTACAAAAACATAAGGAACTATATTCTCAAAACGCGGAGCACATTTCTTGCCGAGGAAAAATAGCGGAGTGATATGGACCGCAGGTACTACTTTCTCTAGGGCACCATTTGTGTTGCCAGCTGAACCTAAAAACGTGTTGCATAGTGTTTGAAAGACTAATTATTTATATGCTTTATAGTGACTGTAGGAAAAATATAATGTGTAACACGAGTGAAAAAGGCCTTTGCTGCACTCGAGATCATTCCACACTCGCCTGCGGCTCGTGCGTAAACATTGCTCTCGTGTGCAGCAAAGTGCCACTTTCACCACTAGTTACACAAATAACTATTTCGGTCAAAACCATTCTTAACTCTTTTTGGAAATATATCAGTTTCAAACCAAAGTCATACCTGAAATAGTATATTTTATAACAAGATTAGAAAGTGAGTCATTATATTTGAGACCATGTTTGAAGTGCGAGATTATCGAGCACTTTTAATGGTCGAGAATATGTATAGACCCAATTTCACTCGTGTTTTGAACGTCACTTTTCGCTACACTACAAAAAGTAATTATTTTCTTCATTACCAAACTCATAGAATTTTTTAGGTTATGCCTTCAATTTAAAGTTAATACTGTATTTTACTTTAGTTGTTGAAAATTGAAATAGTTGATAAAATACCCCCGCCGCAGCAAACCTGCAGACTTAGCGAATTTCCATTTGCCTGATTGGATGTAAACTAAAATGTCTCCTTAAAAATATCACATTTATTCCCTATTTAAACAGAATTAGTTTAATGAGTACTTAGGTTTGCTGCAACAGGGAGGGTAAACACGTTTTTTATGTAAAATATTAAAAGGTACTGTGGTTTAGTTAAAAATAATGTATTTTCCAAATTTGATCAAAATATGTTCATAAACAAGCAAACTACAACAGTTGACTAATTCTCCATAAGAATAACATGGGAATTTTAAAATTACAATTTTTTTTTTAATTTTCTCCGTAGCAATTAGGCGCATAATAACACTTCAATATACTAAATTATTTGTTTTTTTAAGCTCTACAAAATGGTTTAAAAAGGAATTGTGAAATTTTGTGTTTTTAGGGTCAAAAATGGGAAAAACCTATTTTTACCCCATAAAACCCCCCATAAACCCCCGTTCCCATAGTCCGATCATGCTGGTTCGCAAACTCATTCAAGTTTATCCCGCCTTACACCTTCAAACCAAATTTTATCAAAATCGGACAAAAATTACTCAAGTTATCGTGCGGATGGACACATATATATATATATATCTATATATAGATATATAAAAATTTGAACGAATGGTGTTTTTGGCCTCTGGGGACATCAAAATGAAAAAGTAAATCGGTCCCGGTCTTAGGTCTTACCATGAGACCTACGGTAATAGCTACTTCCCTATAGTGAAATTCGCTAAAATAACAAATATTTGAAGTGGTTGACAGTGGAAAATTTTCGGTTGTAAACAATGTTACTCTCGGTAGTAAACAATAGACAGCAGTTGAAAATATGACGTTTCGCAGGTTGTAAACACATAACGAAAACAGCTCGACTCATAGTAGTGTAGTGAAAATAATGTTTAAAACACTGACAGTGACCAGAAATAAAAAATACAATACATTTATTCGGAGGTACTAGTATACATAATATGATACAGTGTCTTGTAGATACAAGACGTAGTTTATTGCAACATGGCAATGGTTTGGAACAGCCAATTCACAATGTCAACAACTTTGGTGGTCTTAGAATAAATAAATAAATAAATAAAAATGCCTTTTATTAGCAAGCGCTCCTCAGTACAAACTGTTTTACAGGATGACTCTTGTCAAGTAACTAATCCTAACTTAAAACTAAAGACAAAACAAAAATACTGATCCCCCTATATTAACAAGATTTTAGCTATTTACAAAAATACATTTTCTTTAGCCTAGATCTAAAAGCTGGGACACCCAGCATCTTCAGGTCACAGGGGAGGTCATTGTACATTTTAGTCCTAAAGAACGAAAAACCCCTCTTTCCTACTTCCAACCTCACCTTCGGGAAATGAAGCTTTTTGTC